GGGTACACATTACAACTAATTTACTCTCCTCCACCACTGAATGAGTGATATTATTATTATATTGCACACAGTTAAACTGAGACAAGGAATTGAATTCCTTCTGGCCAGGCAGTAAGTAAAATGCTGGTGCTAGGATGAGGACACAGGGCTCTTTGGAGCAAGCTGAATATCCGGATATCACATTTATTTCTCATTTACATACTAGGTTTCAATGTTTCTAAACTAGATAAAAAGTAGGTTTTTCATCAGGGATCTGTAGGAGACATTGGTGAAATCAAGCCACAGTTGACAAGGTACCTAACTGCTCCTGGACAATACTAAGATGTTGGTAACGTGTAAAACTGATGTGAGGGTAGCATTCCCTTGGCAGCACACTAAATATGCTGCAAGTCACATAACCAATGAGTATAATTTGCAAATGTGTATGGAGAATCAGTCTTGACAGTTTTGTTTACAAAGGCAGGCAGCTATTTGGTGATAAGAGATATGACATGCTATTCATTTTGCTGCTACTAAGCCAAAGGGATTGCAACTATGATAACAAACTGTTAGATTTGATTGTTGGAATGCTTATGCAATGTTAGTAATAAAGGGTATTTAAATACATATCTCATTTGTTCTTGGGCAATTATATGTATTTCTTATAATAATTTTCCCGGGACTCTTAAAAGGACAGGCTAATTAAAGAAAAGATATCTGTCTGGCTCAGCTTTAATGGGTCTGTGTTCTCTAAGTAGGTATATGTAGGAAACAGGAGCAGACGTGCCTTTATTTCTCTGCTTGCATGGGTTGAGGCAGGATGTCAGGTGACACAGTCATGGCCTCACATCTTTCAGTTCCTTCATTTTGGCTGGCGTTACATCCACACACCTTCCAAAACTGGAAAATAAACAGTTCTAAAGATAGGACAAGGGTAAGGGCTTTAAACTTAAAGAGGGTAGGTTTAGATTAGATAAGGAGGAAATCCTTCACTATGAGGGTGGTGAAACAGGTTCCTATCCCTGAAAATTTTCAAGGCCAGGTTGGACTGGGCTCTGAGCAACCTTGTCTGCTGGAAGGTATCCCTGCTTTTGGCAGCAGGGCTGGAACTGGAGGACCCTAAGGGTCTCTTCCAACATAAACCATTATATGATTCCAAGTAGTGCTGAAACCTTCAAGAAGCTGAGGAGGAGGTTTCTGGCTTGCATCTCCCTTTTATTGGGCACCAGAAGAATGGGTCAGTATGACTAACACCTCTCCTTTGTCTTCAGCCCCCTGCTTCAAACAATCCTGAGAAAATACTTTTCCCAGCACTCCTAAATAACTGCACCATTTATAGCCTGAGTAACATGTTGCTCACACATTTTCTTACAAAGCTCATGATCAAAGTAAAAAACCCCCAAACTTGTATAATACTCTCCGGAGCAAATACAGGACTGGAGAACTCAGCCATGTTTTTGTGAAATATTGCTCACTGAGCTTTGTTGAATGTGTTCATGCAACTCAGTAATGTGCAGACAAGGGCTGATCCATCTCACTCCCACCTCAGCAGGCACAGCTGAGGCGATGGCTGGATAGTCTGAGCAGGCAGACTAGTCTGACCATCAGAGATTGTGCACATGCCTCACTAATGGGTTTGGCCAAGCACACTAAAATACTTGGTGAGGGGGTAGCTGCTGCAGGTTACAGCTTGGTCAGCTGAGCTTGTGGCTGACCCCAACTCACACCTCCTGGTCTGTAGACTGGACAGAATATTTACAAGGATAAATACTATACACCCTTACAGGGGTAGGAGCAGCTAGGAAGGCTGCACCACTCAGGACTTGAGTTGTTGTGGCTTATTCAGCCTGAGTGCTGCAGTAATTCAGGCAGCAGTCTGCATTTTTTAATGTATTTGAGCATTACACATAAGTCTACACAAGGAAGACATATCAAAACCCCAAACTTTCCACAGCAGGGATTTTAGAGCTAACAAGTGGAAAATGAGTGGCTTTGTTCTCAGTCATTCTTACAGCTACAGGTGACATTGTGAATAGCATACACAGTGCCAAACTACAACTAAAATCCTCTTTGAATGCAAGCAGGCCTTAGGTTTAGCAGCAGCTGTGAGATGGAGACTTACTATTAATGGCAGATTCAAGTAGCGTGAACAATAACGAGGCTCTGTTTAAGGTGGACACAGCTTGTCTGCATTAGAACTGGACCTTGAGAACCTGCATTAATTAACACAATTTTAAGTGGTGTCAGCTGTTTCTGAGTAAACCTATTGATTAGAGCTTCATTCTTGGTCTGACAAGAATATGGATTTAAGAAGAGAGTTATGATCAATAGGTGGGGTTTTATTGTATTTTTTTTTTTAATCTCAAAACCTTTTGAAAGTTGTGAAATATTTTAATGGACTGAGAGGATTAATGCATTTTTTAATAATCTGTTATTTGGAAAGCACAAAGAAGAAATCAGTCTGGAATGTGATAATTTTATGTTCATTTCCAGGGGTTCTTGACTTAGATCCAGACAACACAATTTTTTATGCACAATTTTTACTCCTATTTAACAGCCTTATTGAGCATATTTAATCAGGTTCACACATGTCTATAAAATTAGTTTCTTGTCTTAGATATGATTTATAAATCAGGGGTTATAGTATTTTGAAATACAAAGCTTTGTGTACAAGGATAATCATTTAATGTACCCTTAAACATCATCTTAGGGCCAGGGTGCTGGTTTCATTAAAGGGATCTGGCACGTGATAAAGTCCATGGGTATTCATGGTGAGCTCAAGGCTGTAGCTTGCCTTGCAGTGGGAGGACCTCTAACCACTGCTTCAATGGATTGGTCATCTGTCTGAGGCTTCTGTCACTAGTCTAGACAGCAAGAACAAAGATCATATTTTAGTAGCCATATTAAAATGTGAGGCATTAATTGTATTATTCTGTACTTCTTCCCAGAGGCAGCAGCTGCACAGTGGCATAATTTAATAAAGCTATCCATCATCTGATGCCTGGATGTGAAAAACTTTCCAGGTAGTAGTGTAAGAAACAACTCCTTAGTTCTTGTTTTGTCAGAATGGGCACAACAGAACTGCTACACATGCACCTAGGCTTCAGCAAACGTCTGTATATTGAAGTTAAAATATTGATAAGCCTCTGTTTTGACTAGGAATTGGGAAATTTTCTGGCCAGGACAGGTCATTTAATTTCACATTAGAGCTGCATTTACTTACTCCTCCCCTTACTACGTACATCCAGCCTAAAGAATGAAGGGCACAATGCACATCCTGTAAAAGTTGGCCACAAGAGGTAGGATGCCTGTGGATCGAACATGTGACAAATGACTATGCTATTGTGCAGCAGAGGCTCCATTCAGCACACGCTGCAGGGACGATGGTTGGCTTCTGGCCCTGGTGCATAGTGCAGCAAGCAGACCTCATTAGCACCTAGGATATATCTTACACCTCTGCACACTGGCTTTATTTAAGGCTGACTGATGTCTTAGGCAGGCTTCTTCATGCTAACTACACTGTTTTACATTTTCAGACTTCTTACCCCCAAGCACATAATTTTTTTAAGATAAAACAAAAAAAATATTCCCCTACAACACAGCTACGGGAGTAAAGGTTCAAATGCACATACTTTTCATTCCCTTTTTCTGATGCAGCTATGCTAACACGTGCAGGAAGCAGAAGGTCTATGGGGGTAATGTGGAAGAGCTCAGATGCCACAGGTTCCCCTCCTTCCTCACATACCTCATGGACCATGCATAAAAATTTCTAGATAATAGATAGAGGAACTGATAAATCATCTCCTTCTTTGGAGCACAAAAATGCAACAGGGTCTAGTACTGAACCTGAGGACCTGGCTGAGCATCTAAAGCTCTGTGCGGCTCTGAGCTCTTAGGTGGGATCTTTTAACTGCTGTGGCTTAATGAACATTATGTGAAAAGACCTTCTAAAGGAGGCTGCTTAGAGTTTACTCCTGGTTTTAACAACCCCAGGGTAGTCTCGTTTTGATTCTGCCTTCTTAAAAGTCCACTTGCAGATATACAGTGACTGTTCATTCCAACTCTATGCAAACGACTAAAGTCTAACTATCCTTCAGAGAAGGCCTCATACAAAGGTATTTCTGTCATATTTAGTTTCTTTTAAATCAGATGTGAATGAGGGGAAATTCTCCCCCTTCTACTGTTTTAACTGGCGTGACAGGAGTGCATGTGTTGACCTCAGGTACCTGAACTGAATGACTAAATCTGTAAGTTTGGAGCAGATTTATAGGATGAGCACTAAAGTATTGTGAAGAAATAAAAATAAGCTTTGATAAAGGTACCTTAATTGGATATGTAGATCGATAGGCAAATGAGTAGCCACGTTTGAAAGATCTGTGACCTACCACAAAAATGGGGAAAAGGTCTAGCTTAAATTCGTTTTTCAATGCTTCTTGGTTGCTGCCAAGCACAGAATACTACGATACCAATCTTCGAGATGGCATCTACCCTGAGCAATAAAAATCCCACCCTTAATTTAACAGGAGTCACCAGTCAGCTCCTGAGGCATAAACAGGCAGCTGAAGCACCGCGCGTAGGCTGACTTTAGTGCTGGATGCCGAGCAGCGCTTGGCACAGGTGGAGGAGTTTTCATCGCAGACCCATATTAACTCCGGTGAAGTTGCACCGCGCCTGCCAGTGCCGCAGGAACAATCACCATGTGGGAGAAGCGCCCGGAGTGCCGCCCTCCCCTCCCGGCGCCGCTCGGCCGAACAAAGGCGGCAGCGCGGGGTCCCCTTTGTGCGCCGTGGGCCGGGGAAGGGGCGAGCCCAGGGCCCGGCGGAGCTCCCCGCCCCGGGCTCCCCGCCCCGCCGGCCCGGCCTGGCAGGCGTCGGGAGGAAGCGCCGGCTGCGGGCGGGCGGGCGGCTGCCAGCGGCCCGGACCTCCCCCGGCCCCGGCTCCGCCCCTCCGCCGCCGATCCTCCGCCCCTCCGCCGCCGATCCTCCGCCCCCTCCGCCTTCTCCTCGCGGCGGCGGCGGCTGCTCGGCCCCGGCTCCTCGCGCTTCTCCGCCTCGCTCCTCTCCGGGGGCTCCCGCGCCGCGCTGGCCACCACGGTAAGGGCGAGGCGCGGTGCCGGCTCGGGGCTGAACGCGGCTGCGTGCCGCGGCTCCCCCGCTGGCTGGGGGCGGCCCCGGGAGTGGGGGCGGCCGGGACCCCCCACCACCAGCCCCGGTGGGTGTCTGGCGGAGGGGCTGCCGCGCTGCCCCGGGGGCGGGCGGGGGGCTCGCCCCGGCGGGGGGCTGCAGCAGGAACCGCCCAGCCCTGCCCTGCCCTGCCCTGCTCAGCCCAGCTCAGCCACGCTGCCGGGGGTCGGCGGGCGGCTCCCGGCGGGGACGGAGCGCAGCCCCGCGCGGTGAGTGCCGCGGGTGGTGCCCCACCGGCCGAGCCGGCTTCGCCCCCCGCCTCTGGGGCGGCGGCTCCCACCCGCAGCCCGCGAGCGGGTTCGCGGCGGAGCGGGTAGGGCGGTTTGGCTCCTCTGAAATGCCTCGCTAAATGGCAGGGGAAAACATATGGCCCAGGAGAAAGCCGCTGGAAGCGATAGCTGTTGGACTCCTCCGAGTTATTTCCCCGAGTCGGTGCGAAGTGAGAACTTCCTCCCGGGATGCCCTTTCGGGGGGATGCGGGGCTGAGCACATGGTCGCCTCCCCTGGGTCTGCCCCGCGTCTGTCACGGCACCGCCTGCCAAGGGGCCTGCCGGCGCCTGCTCTCCTTTCGGAGTGCTAATCTGACCTCAAGAAAACTTTAGCTGGGCGAGGGAACGAGGCTGCTCCAAAAGGTAATTTATTTAAACGCGTTGGGTTTTTTCCCTGATCGTCCTCCTTCCCTCGCTCAGGCCAGGTATCTGTGAAAAGGAGGGAAAGCAATGGGATTATTTGTGTCCAAGGGTCCAATATATGTGGCAGCTGATAGTGCAGAGAAGGTTAAAACTTGCACAGACCTGGTACTGGCAAGTCTCTAGTGAATCGTACTGTTAACTTTTTAAGCCTGAATTTCATGGTCCTTTGCGTGTTGATTCTTCCTCGTGTTTGAAGGTTCTAGATACTCAGATATTTAAGGATAAAACATGTTCTTTATGCTTGTAACGACAATGCTGTTGCATTTTGTGAACATCAGGACAAATTTTATCTTTAATGTAGACGTTTTTATCCCTTGGCTGTACTGAACTCTACCAAATAGTTGTACTGTTTGTAAATCTACTGCTGATTTGTTGGGTGCCTTTGCAAAGGTCACTTCAGTTCATCCAATACAGGCATTTTTTTTTTCTAAAACGCCTGTGTTGATTTAATGTGGTACAGGGTCAGTCTTGGCATTTATAAATTATTTCATATTTGTACTTGTGTGCTGTGAGAGCCAAGCTTTATAAAGCAACTATTCCTTAGTTATGCTTTAAAGCCTACTGGCAGATCTTGTGTGTGGCATACAGGAGGTGTGCAGCTTTATGGGCATCTAATGTTAAGTGTCCTACTTATTTAAAAATGTTGAGAGCTCTAAAAGGGTCAGTGTAATCCATGCCACACGTGCGCTCGACTGACCTAGAATTAACAGGATAAAACACTTTTAAGCACTTTTGGAGTGAAAGGTAGGATGCTATTTCCTCGTGAATGGCTAACTTGCCTTTTGAAGGTGTCCAGTGCCATGCTTCCCAGTCTGGAGGGTGCCAGAACACCCACCCCAGTGCTGGAGAGGCTTGGCTTAAACTGGTGAGACTGGTCATGAGAGCGGAAGGCACCAGCAGCCTGAAGGTGCTCCATGGGGAGATGAACACAATGGTGTTGGTGGCCAAGGGTGGTGGATGCATCAGTCCTTCATGGATGGTGGGCAGCCCTTGCTGTGGTGTGGGGCTGCTGGAGCTGGCAGAGCTGTGTGCCCTCTCAGGGCCCCCATTTCATATGGGTTAGTAATTTAGCATGTCAGTTGATATTTCGTGCTGAGGTACCGAGTTTCCCCTCTGGGTTTCAGGAGGCAGCAGGCAGGTGCCTGTGTGCTGCTGTGTAGGTGCAGGTATACCAGGAATGTGGTGGTAAGCGTGATTTACTGCCTCGATGGGACTGATAGCCTGTGCCAGCAAGTTCACTCTGCTGCATAGAAGGCTTGGACTGCCTTCATGCCAGTGCATCCACATTAAGCAAATTGTATCTATCGCAAGTTAAAGTTAAGAAGGAAACCATGTTTTCCAGATTCAGGTGGAAATCATTCGCTGTCGCTTTGCTAGAGAGGCTCTTTCCGCGTTGTGTTGTAGCAGTTGGCCACCTGCACCCTCCTCCTCTGCCCCTCTTAGGCTTGTGGTGACCATGCTGAAGATACAGTTGTTGCTGCACTTAGTATAGGTGCAGTCTTCCACTGGATGGGAGATGATTTTCTGTTTAAGGTTCATGCTTCTGTTTCAAAATCTGTAGGTCCCAGGTTGATTTACTGAGGCGAAACTGAGTCAAATTATAGGACGCAACTTTGCAAACATGTTTTGATTGCTCAGAGCTACAGAGCTCATTTTGGGTAGTGTGCTAGTGTGTAAAAGGAAGGTGTTTCTCAAATGTGCTTTTGTAAGTATGTTTCCCACTGCTGACTAGTTAAGTTAGAAGTCAGTGCACTGAATTATCATAGAGGAGATTTTGGCCATTAATTGTAGTGGAATGCGGAGTAAATGAAGGCTTAGGTTTATAGCCTGCCCAGAACTAGAGGGTGTATCTTTAAATTCTGGAACATCTCTGGTCTCTCACTGGCTGACAGTATGTCTTGTTATCCGCTTCTAGAGTACGGCTCCCTTCTGTAAGGCCTTAAGCATATGTGTTGATCAAGTTAACAATTTTGAATTAAACTGAATGGTAAGTATATGTTGACTACAAAGTGTCTTTCTTTCAAGGAAGCTTTATTTTAGGAGGGTAAGTTCTGAGAAGTTAGAAGAACTAGTTTATGTTGTCCACGGAGCTAAAGGCTTGTAGGAGTTGGAGGTTTAAATTAAAACAAAACTGAAAAATACTTGGACCGTCTTAAGTGGAAGGTACAATAGCTGCTTGGAAACTGCATTTTAAGGAGGAGGAAAAGCTTGCCAAGTGGGGCTGTGGACCTTGCTGTGAGAATAAGATACTGCAAGTTACCAGAAAACCTAAAAGGAATGAAGTAAAGGAGGGGATTGATTGTTGGAGAGCAGAAACTGCAGGGATAGCATGTGAACTGCCAAAAGCTAGAGGATGAAGAAATTTAAGATGAAGAGGGGGAAAAAAAATAAAAAGAGCAGGAGAGGAGAATTTGGCTATGATGTTGTGAGGACCAGGCTGTATGAAAAATGCTTGATGCCTCTAAAAAGTTCTTGTTTTAGTTGTTTAGTTTTAGATATGCATGAGGATTTGAATATGGGGGAAAGAGGTTGTCAAATGGAAATGACTAGAATAAATGTGTTATGTCTGCTCCCAGTCCAACTAAGTCCAAGGGTCTCTGCTTTTGGGCTCTGAAAGAGCTAGTGCAGGGCACTGCAGCCAGGTTAAAAAATAAAATTGGGTGTTATCTGTTAGGCTGAAGGTAGCAATTGTGATAGCAAGATAGCAAAAGATATATAGTTTCATTTATTTTAAAAGGAGAAGAGAATGATGTCTTCACACCTTTTACTTTGGTCACAATAGAATTCAAGGATTTAGAATAAATTTTGAATGGAAAAAGTAATTAAGTATACAAAGCTAAGTGGAAAACAGGATAAAATGCATCATGCATTTGCCACAATTAGGTCATGGGAGACTAAAGCCAAATTATTACTGGTTAAATACTGAATGTCCTAGACAAATAGGAGCAGAAGGCTTCAGTTCCATGTATATACATCAAAAGTAACTAAATTGGAAATGTGAGGCTTAGCTAAAGGTGTCTCCTGAAGGAGAAATGCCAAGTTTGCCTGCCTGAATAAAGGAATTACTCATGCCCTGCATCAGTATTAGTGGGGAGCTGGTCTCTTTATTTCCCCATACTGGCTGAAATAACTATATGAAAAGGATGATTGCTGATGAGACAAAGTTGGGAAATGTAGTCAGCACCGAGATGGGTTGGATTATTGCACAGGAAGAATTGAATGTCTGTGATGACTGAAACAATAGAAATGACAGGAAGTTAAGTAGCTCTAAAAGCAAAGTTATTTACTGAGTGATTATTAGCACTGCATCTGCTATCAGCTGGCAAATCATCGCTTAAAACAGATTTGGAGGAAAAGGCCTCACTGTCATAGTCAGGATAACTTATTTGGGGATGACTTATTTGATACTGACCATTCAGTGGAGCAAATGGGATGGTCAGGAAGAGCTCTTCAGTGAAAATAGGCAAGCTATTAGGCAAGGCATTAGGGTGACTGTGTCAAATGCTGTACATAGTTCTGCATAATTATGTACAGAAAATATTAAATCGTAGTGGAACATGTAGATAGAAGGACATCCAAGCTACAAAGATCATGTAGTGTGAACAGTCTGGAGACTAAACTTAACAGACTGAGAGACTAAAACTTAAACTAGTCTGGCTGTTGTGTCTTAGTAATGGCAGAGATGGGAGATAGCAGCTGCTTTGAAATTCCCTGGGGCAAATTCTTGGAGGAGAGGAAGGGTCATAAACTGAAGATTCATCTGTGATTTTGGGTTAAAAACTTGATGTACAGAAGGGTAATTTGATGAGTGAATACAAAAGTAATGTACATGGGGAATTCGAAAGGAGTTCCCTTACTGTCAGATTTTGGATGCCTTCCTAGCTGTATGTATCCTGAGTCCCAGCTAAGTACCGAAGTTTACATGTGACTATTCAGGAATTGAGCAGTTCAGGTAACTGAAGCTGCCATATTTTGTGCTTTGGTGTTCACAGTTAATCTTCAGAAATAGAAGTCACTTCAGTAAAGGTGGTGTGATGAGCAGAAGCACTGATTTTTGGGGAGTGTGTGTTGTCTAGTCACATGATGGTGGATGGAATTTATAGCAAGTAAAAACACTTATCTATGACATTAGTAGCTATTTTGTTCTCTTTTTAGTGCATAATGGAGTGGAATGAAGCTTGAGTCATAAAATATTAAAGATAACCACAAATTAACATG